GGTCGACGCAACCTCCCCTTCCTCCTCCTCGTCTAGCAGCAGCAGCAGCAGCCGCCGCGTAGTGAAGAACCAGTGGGACATCAACAGCGCGGCCCCCGAGTCGGAGGAAGAGGAGGAGGGCGGCGGGGGGAGTCGCGGCAGACCCCAGCCACCGCCTGGTTCCTTCAGTGCTCCTGCCCCAGTCGGCGAGCCGCCCCTGCAGCAGCCGGAGCCTTTTCCGTCGCAGGTGCCAGCCGAGGAGCCGGACTTGGTGATCGAGGTGTCCGGGCGGCGGATCCGGGCGCACAAGGCGGTGCTGGCGGCCAAGAGCGACTATTTCCGCGCGCGCTACTCGCGGGACATCCTGCGCGTGAAGGGGGTGAGCTACGGAGCGCTGCGCCTGCTGCTGGAATACGTCTACACGGCGCGCATGGGAGAGGTGCGGCACGATAACCTGGCTGAGGTGGTGAGCGGCGCCCGCGTGCTCCAGATGCCATGCGCTCTGCACTGCGCTGCCGAGGCCATGCGGGCCCAGCTCAGCCTCGAGAACTGCTACCAGCTCCTCTGCCTGGCCAAGAAGCAGCGGCTGGCGGAGCTGCGGGAGGCCGCCTACCGCTTCATGAGCGACCACTACCTGCAGGTGTTGCGCGAGCCCTCCGTCTACGGCCGCCTCAGCGGAGCCGAGCGGGACCTCATCCTGCAGCGCCGCCTGGAGGCCGGCAAGGCCTGCCTGCTGGTGGCCGAGGTGAGCGACGCCTTCGAGAGGCTCAGCGCGGGGAGCCGCCCGCAGAGCCGTGAGAGCAGCCGCCCGCAGAGCCCTTCTTCCGTGGTGTCCTTGGAGGAGAGCAGCTCCCTGCTTTACAGCTACCAGGAGGGGGCCCAGGAGTGGCGGGTTCTCACCCGCTTACCCGAGGAGGCCAACGCCAAGGGGTGCGCCATGTGCGTCCTGTACAACTACCTTTTCTTAGCAGGTGGACTCTGCACCAGCCCTGGAGACCAGCGGCCCAAGCTGTCGGACAAGGTTTTCTGCTACAACCCCTTGACTGATACCTGGAGCCAGGTGAAACCAATGGGGCAGCCTCGCTCTCAGCTGAAGCTCCTGGCCCTGGACGGTTACCTCTACGCAGTAGGGGGGGAATGCCTCTTTACAGTTGAGAAGTATGACCCGCGGGCAGATCGGTGGAGCCCAGTGGCCCCTTTGCCCAAGGGTGCTTTTGCTGTGGCTCACGAGGCTACCACCTGCAATGGGGAGATCTATGTGTCAGGGGGGTCCCTTTTCTACCGTCTCCTCAAGTATGACCCCAAGCGGGATGAGTGGCAGGAGTGTCCTTACAACAGCAGCCGGCGGCGGTCTGCTGACATGGTGGCCTACAAGAGCTTCATTTACCGCTTTGATGTGAGCAGCAGTCGCGGGGAGCAAGGGCAGGGGGGCGGCGTGGAAGTCTTCCAGTACAACACGGTGGCCAAGCACTGGCGTCAGTGCGCGTCCTTCCGCCCCACTGGCAGCCCAGTGCAACCATTTCGCTGTGCTGCATTGGGCAGCACCATCTATTGTGTCAACCGGACTGGGATGTTGAGCTTTAACCTGTCTCAGAATGGTGAGGTGGAAGCCGATGGGGGACTTAAAGGCACCTTTGACACAGAACTGCTCAAAGCCCCATTTGATTCTAAAGGTCTCCTCCTCCCATTTGTGCTTATCCTCCCCGAGAAAGAGAAAATTGGGGAGCCAGGGAGTCCTCTAACATTGTGAGAGCTGACCTGGTATTGGGATCACTGCCTAGCATGCAATTTGTCTCTCTGCTCTGACCCCCTTTATCGATGTCAACAGCATAGGGCTTTTACTGAAGCGTGGATGAAGGCAGGCGCAAGCTCTCCAGTCTTGGGTGGTAACGATGGTTGGGCTCCAGAGGCAATATAAGTAGTGGAAGCTAATCCAAGGTGGAAAGGCACCAGTACATAACACCTCCTTTGAGGGTGTAGAAGCAAATAGGAGACGATTGTCAGACGTGTCTTTAATTCATGCATGCATGCGCCACTGTGGGGAATTGTGTTCCACCTAAAGTGTTGACTAGCTGTTCAAAGACTTCCTTGCTGTACTTCATGTAGGAAAGAATTCATCTCTTGGCACTCATGTAAACCAGCCAGTGAAAAGCTGCTAAAACAGATTTAATTGTAGAACCATATTTGCACCCCTTTCCAATCTAGAAGTATGTTGGATCTGTGTAAAATGGTGGAAACAACCAATTTTTAAAGGAATTTCAATTATGGCAGTGCTTTCTTTATACATACAAATTTTTGAAAGAAGATTCTTCTAGGCCGCTTCTGCTTGGTTTTCTTGCTCCTGGATGCAAGTAGTACTTAGAGGCCACAGGAAGACAAGGTGGGAAGGGATCAGTATGCCATTTAGGAAGTTTAATAGGCAAAAACAATACTTGTATGAAAAAGCAATAGGCAATCATCCAGGTCCTAATTTTTTTGTTGTTTTTGTTAAGTTCAGTAGAATCTTTATTGAAGACATGGCATTGTGCAGCCTCAGGAAGTTGCAACAATAGTGGATGATTTAACAGAAGCAAAACCTAAGGCTTGAAACAAGTAACATTTCTCCCATTTGTATATATTGGGGGAAAAAAGGAAAGTAAAAAAGAAGCACCAATGCATCTATTCAGTTCTGGTTTTGCTTTTTTTTAACATGCAACTTTTTTGGACAAGATTGATTAGAAATATATAATCAGTTTTAGTCTTAACATACACTGGTGTTTTTTAAACACAGTTTTGCACTGTAACCTACATATTCAAATCTTTACAAATTGGCAGGAATGAACATACTATAAAATTTCAATAAGGGAGATTTTTGTTTGCATAAGATTACTATTGTTATCTGCAGATCAGTACTTATCAAGGTAAACCAACTGCAACTTACTTGAAATGTATTGAAAGGCTTCGCTTTTTTGTCCAGAATCTTTTAATAAGAATTTCTTCTTCTGTGGTTCAAATAAAAAAATGAGTAGTTTTTAAGCCAGCTGATTTCCATTTTGCACTGGTAGTGCACTGGATTGTAAATGAGAGCGGTTTTATTATAGTTAATAATTCACTAGTCAAGTTCATTATATACAGAGGTCATATCCTTTTTCTTCTTAAATCCTTTGTTGAGTCATTGCTTACTAAGTAGCCCATTTTGAGAAAGAAAGTATCAACCTTCATACTTGTAGGCATCTGGAACTGAAATATTTTCAGTTAATTCATCTTTATTTAATTCGATCAGCTGCCTTCCAAAGTGCTGCCCCAATTAATTTTTCAAATTATCAGTAGCACAGCTGACCATTCATATCCAGTCATTGATTGGGCTCACATGCCGTGCTGAGCCATACTTTGAGTAATCATGGTTGGTTGGCTAAGTCACAATTGCTTTGGTTCACAGACCATACTAAGACCTAAACTGGTGCGCACATTGTAATGATTAGGTTTACATATCATGGTAAGCCAGAACCAAGCAATTCATATTATGACTTAGTACATTCTGTTTTTATTAATTTTTATTTCTTACAATAAAGAAAAAACTACAACAAAGCCCAAACAAAAAATTATAGAAAGACAGAAGATTCATATATGTATATGTGTGTATGTAAATTAAACCTTGATCACACACAGAAGTATTAAATCTGACTTTATGTCAATATAGGACAAGTTCATAGGCAGAGTGTAAATGTGCTCCATCAATCCATGTTTTAAAACTGGCATGAGAGAGTCTGTCCACAGAAAGAAAACCATTTTTAAATTTTTTTTTGCAGTAGTCCATGCCTGATAAATTCAGTTTTTCATAGGTTGTTAAATTCCATATTTTGGATATATGGTTAAACATTACATTAAAAGCTTTGAATCTTACTTTTCTTCCCAATGCTCTATTAAAATATTTATTAATGCTAAACCAAAAAGGGATCACTTGGTATCTCTTCCACTGTTTTACAGATCCAGCATACTGAGGATGAAATCCAACCCTTACTTAACATGACTTAGTATGTCTCCAGCCATGGACTGGTTTTGAAAGTCCCCTCAGGTTCATAAGCAGCTTGCCCTGAGCATGGGGGAAGAGGCTTGCTGGCTTTGGGGTGGGGTGGGGTGGGGTAACAACCTAACTAGGAAGTGATAATATGTATTGCATTGTTGCAATACAAACTCTGCCCCTTACATATTTTGCAAGTTATGTTACAGTGCAAGCATGAAAGGGCAGAATCTGTCTTATAATGCCCTGAAATATGGATCATTCTCTTGGGATCATTGTGATTAGGAATGCCTGTGCATTCTCCCATTTACAGTATCGTTAAGGTCTTTTAGTTTTTAAACACGGAATTTTGTGGACTTCATTGTGTAGGTACTCATAAACAAACTGCCCAAATTTGGGTTTGCATATTTCCAAAAGAGTGTCACAGAAATTGATTAATCCCAATTTTTTAAAAGGTGGAAAATTTAATTCTTAAATCTGTTTTTCATTCTATCTCCCTTGAAGGACTTTGCTTCTCTTTTTATCTTTACCCAGGTGCAGTTTGGCTAGAAGGAGACTCAGGAGCTCAGCCCTAGTGACTAAGGGAGGTTTTGAACCAATATGCTTTCCTCTAAGCTCATGCTAAATATTCAGCCACAATAGTTTTAAATCTTTCAGCATGAATTCTGCTATTCGGCTCTTAAGCTTTCAAATAACAGATCACTAAAAGGGTGCATTTATTTTAGTCATAGGATTTCCTACAAAACTGACTACTTTATATAACATACTAACTCAAAAAAACTGATGTTAGGGTTGGAGTGTTGCACCTGCGGCATTGATGTATGAGGATTTTTGGTATGCTTCACCCTCTGCTCCCTGGGACCTTCTCCAATGTGTATGCCTGCAGTGCAGTGGAACAGTAGAGATGTGAGAAATCTTTCTAGACTTCTCGCATTCTTCTTTTGCTGTCCCCAAGGCTCGACAGCTTCGTGGAAGGAAGGAGAGAACAGGGAGATGGGATGGGAACCTTACTCTAATTTTAGCATATGGAGATGGGAAAAGAATATACAGTGCATAAAGGGTACTAGGTCCAAGATCTTTACTGATGATAATTCAGGGCAGATTTGACCTTGATGCTGGAAGGAGCTATTTAAAGCACATAATTTAATTTCAGAGAAGGGCTGTAGAAAATATTTGATTAAAATACTCACTTTTTAGCAAGATGCCAAGGTTATAATTTATGATTTCCAAAGGAAGCCAGTAATTCCTATAATAAAAGGTATCAGGAGTGAAAATCAAAATATTAATTTACATTCACTGTGGTTTTTTTTAATAATGAAACACTTTTTAAATTGATATCACAGTTGTGAAATGTTTAGATACACATGTTATTTTTTAAAGCAGATAGATATGACAGGATATCTATTAAAACTGGTGAATGTGAAATTTAAAACTTCAAACGACCTTTTCTAAGATGATTATAGTTTATATATTTCTCTGCAATCTCAGAGTTTAGGACCAAGCCATGACAGCATTGAGTAATAAGTTTGCTTGTTTACTGTTTAGATTTTAGATTTCCTTACCGATCAATATGGTTTACTCACAACCTTTCTCCTTGATTAAATAAATAAATAAATAAATAAATAAATAAATAAATAAATAAAATGCATGTTAGAATGCAGTGGAACTTACTAAGTTTTATTGCGCTAATTTTAGTTATCACATCCCTCAGGTTCTTTTTAATCCTGATCCAGTCCTGCATTTGACACTGTCTGCAGGAAACTCTGCTTCCTTCTCATCCTTTTCTTTTGTCAGGCTTTTCTAGTTTTAACATGGTAAGGAGGTGGGAAGCTGAATTGTATGCCTAACTAGGTGTAAATGACTATTTGGAAAAAAACCCCAAATATTTCAAGAGTGAAGTATAACCTCTGTCAGAAAAAGACTGGATATGTATCTATAGAGGCATCTCTAATTCAGTTTAAAATGCTCTGAATTAACTCACATACTATTCCATACACAAATAAAAGAAGAAGAAAGTACGTTTAGATAAACTGAGCTCTGTCTTGCTGCACACTTCAAGGAACAAATGATGAAATACAGTTTCCTGAGTATTTCAACATTTTGTTTGAGACAGCATTTTTATAAACGTTTATAATGAATAAGCTAAACCTTCCAGTTCTATTTTACCTGTTTAACTGGGTAGTATCTTTAAATTCTGTACAAAGTCAGTGTAACTATTTCATTTCATTAATGTCTCATGAGGGTTCCAGAAAACATCCTTCCTCTGCCTGCTAATTATCTTCCTATACCTCAAAGAGTTTGCAAGTAATTTGATGCAGAGAATGCTGGCTTCCATCCTATTAAGCAAGGACATTTCTATTACTGCAGTGACATTTCCCATTTCTCTCCTCTGCAGTACTGTGCCCCAGATCTGCTCCAGTGTGTCCCTCAGAACTCCGGAGCAAATTTGAGAGTGGAATTGTGGAAGGTAGAGTGAAAGTATTAGAATTGTGTAAAATTATGCAACTGAATCTAGTCTGTTATTAAGCAGATTGGAGGAAATGTTGACAAGTACTATTTATATTTCTACTCTTTCACATATATAAATCTTAAATTCTACAATACTAGCATAATTGTGTTCTTGAATTCAAAGTTTAAGCACAGTTGAGTATTTCCAGGGCCATAATCTGCACTTAATTACTAGCCATTTCACTTCATTTCCTTTATGTGAGGCCTACATAATCATACCCATATGATTGATTCTTCTGGCAACATATGGGATACTTCTAAATTGATTTCCTGCTCAGTGCCTTTCATTTTTTTCATGCAAAGATTCCAAATCAGGCCTGTGGCATCATTAATTTTTCAACACTAAGTTGGTTAAATGAATAGCCAGCAAGTTTTTACACCATGCATTACAAGTAAATGGAAATTGGACTGAATGATTACACTGAAGGCGTTTTGTTTTATACAAATCCTATTTGTTCCATGAAGTCTTTCAAAGAAGCAGCTGGGAAAGGATTGATCCAGTGTCTGAAGTACAAAAGTTTGCATTCATAAAATGAGAATGATGCTGATCATACCTGTCCAGTGAATCAAATTGAGTATGCACAATGAGTTCATAAATGAACACCTGATACAATTTCAACTGCTTAAAAAGAATAAATTATTCCTATAAAAGCAGTGTCTCTCTTGTACTTTTGGTTAGCAGACAGCAGAGTTGCTTTTAGGACTTTTTAGCCTTCTACTCAAGTGGCTTATAATTCCTATTATAACTCTGTCCCCTTGCAACATTAGGTTTGATGCAACTATATAAAGCAAATAGACATCACCCAGGACATCTTGTGCCTATATGTAAGTGCTGTTTACAGACAGTGGCACCAAAGGCAAGCTGTAAGGCAGAAAGGTATGTTGGTATGTTAAAAGATTACAGTGTTATCACTGTTTAATTCAACAACAGGTCATGTGGCCAGGCATAACATAGGTAGCCCTGGCCCTACAGGTCTATTCTTATTGACCTCATGGCAGATTTGGGAGTGATAGAGGAGAGTGGTCTATCAGGCACAGCTGGGCCTTTCATGGTAAGCAGGATTGTATGATGAAGCCATAGAAAATCAATTCCTGCTATTGTACAATATAAAAGTGCCTGGTCCACAGGTAGTCCTCGAGTTACGACCATTCGTTCAACGACCATTTGAAGTTATGGCAGCGCTGAATGAATGGTACCTCGGTCCCCAAAGTTACAGCCGTCGCAGTGCCCTGTGGTCACGTGATCAAAATTAGGGTGGCAGCCCGTCCACATTTTGACTGCAGGGGCACTTCAACTCCCACCACTAGCTTATCTCCCCCCCATCTCTGAACTTTTGGCACTCATTGGCAGCAGTGGCAGCGCCGGGACTGAAGTAGAGGCCCAGGGTCTTCAGCAGTCTCGTCCAACTGCCACCAGCCTGAGGCCTCTACTTTACTGCTGCCACCACCAAGGAGTGCTGCCTCAAGCCCTGCACCATGGCCAGCCATCCCAGCACCACAGCACAAAGCCCCAGTCGCCCCCCCCCCCCCCTGCGCTCTGCTGGCCCTGCTGGCACCAACTGACCTTCATTGTCTTCTGTTGACAAGGTGCACCCAGCCCGGCTCTATGCGAGGCAGTTGTTGGCTGCACCAGGCCTTCTTCCTGAGGCTGCTCGCGCTGTTCACCAATTAGTGCAGGCCGTTCTCACGATGCTTTGAAAGGCCTTCAGCCAGCAAGGCAGGACTGCAAGGCCAGCAGGCCAGTAGGGCAAACAGAGTGCAGGGTGGCAAGACAGCAGGGCCATCAGGCTGACAGGGCAAGCGAAGCACAAGGCAACAAGGCCGGCAGAGGCGGCAGAGTGCAAGGCAACCAAAAGGGCAGAGATGGGGGGGAGGTAGGCGGTGGGGGGAGTTCAAGAGGAGGAAGTCCCTTACTTTACTGGGGTTCAGGGCTGGAAGGGACCAAGCCAGGAGTGGCTTGGATCAGGGTGGGTCCTCACCTAACAACTGGTGGGATTTGGTTAACAGTGGCAACAAGGGGTGCCGGGATTGCCGTCGCTAAGCGGTGCAGTCACGTGATATCGTGCTTTACAACTGCATAGTTTAGCAATGGAAATTCCAGTCCCAATTACCATCGTAACTTGAGGACTACCTGTATTTGTTTTCTGAATAGTGTAATAATGATTTTAGGATTTTTTTTTTTTTTTAAAAAGTTGACTTTATGCCATGCATGTACCTTCTAGTTAGTATTTTTTTTTCTTTGCTGTGAACGACCCTCTCTGAACCCTGTAAGACTTCCAAGTATACATGCTCTTTATTTCAACTGTTTTATTCCAGCAGCAGAATGGCCCATAAATATTTCACCAGTTTAACTTTTGTGCTAGAGTTCATAGAGCTGTACTTTACGTCTTAGCAGTTTTCTCACTTGGTCCACGCTCCATTCCATTCTCAATCAGTGCTGAAGTTTTTGCTCTACTATAGAGTCAGATTTTTTTTTTTTAAGCGAACTGGAGTAAGAAAAGCTGTCATTCTATCTATGCCTTTTCAAGGGTATGTCCCACTGACTTCAGTTGGAGTTAATCCCAGGTTAAGTGTGCAAAGCCTATAGCCCCAAAGTGCTTGATTCAGATAGCTCTTTTCAGAACCAATAAATTACTGTATCATGGTTGGTGAAGCAGAGATGTAATTATAGGAATAATTGTATTCCTACTGTCAACCTATTTCATGGTTGTGGATTGAGAGAATTTGGGGAGTTTAATCTAACATAACTGGGGAGCCCAGGTTGGGGAAGGCAAAATTGAATGATCTGAAGATGACCAGTGCACTAAAGAGGGATGTTTCAGGATTTTAAAAACATAGTTCTTACATGGGGCACTAAACTCCCTTTCGACAATCAAAGCAACCCTTTCAGCCATTCCTTCAGAGATGCATTTCATGGAGGACTGTTGTACATTTCGTCAGGCAACTATGCAAAAAGAAGAGAACAGTTGTCTATATCCCTTCCCCCATCACTACAGTCCTTAGGGACTGTTAACACGGAGACTGTGAACACAAATTATTGGATGCAGGACTAGAGCCAAATTGTATTGTCATGAGTCTCATTTCATTCCAATCAGTTTTGAACAGTGGACTTGTTTCCAGTATATTCAAGTCAACCTTCAACACATGATCTAGGTAATTAAAATAATTATGACTGTTAAATTATTTCTTCCCTGCTACTCCAATCTGCAGTTAGGATCTTTTCCATATAAAATACATCATAGACATTATGCATTGTTTCAGTAAGCTACCTTGGTGTTGCTCTGTAAGATCTGAATGAATTTCTGTGATTGTGTTGATGCTCCCACTTATCGCTGATTAATGCAAATGCTTTGGACACTACACAATTCAAGTGAATTACATGCAGAGCAAGTGTGATTTGTTAGCAGATTGTTTTTAAAAGCACAGGCAGACACTTCCATGAAGCTTTTTATGTATTTTGGAACATGCTGTAATGGAATAAAATATAAGCAGAAAGCAAATGCTCCATGATGGAGAACAATTAGCCAGCGTCTTTTCATTTTTAATGTGTCATTGTTTTTCTTTATGTTCATATGGCTAAGATAATTGTTTCTTATGTTGGATATTGTATTTCTATAAACCATATAAATCAGTCGTATGTGGAAGGTAACAGCTAATCCTGCCAGAATATGTCATTTTGAATTTATACAATGCCATTGTGCCAAGTTGGAAGTCCTTGTCATTCCCTCTATCGTGTAGGTAAATTTACAGGTAAACGTGATGAAAAAAATGACTTATGTGCAGTGCTGTCATGATGCAAACCTTGTGACTTTTGTACTTGTGCCCTGATGGACTTTGTGTTGTGACAATATGACACCCACTATGTCATTTGCCCCCATCCCCAGACACCTATGTTCCATTAGCAAGTTCCTGTGGAGAATGTCAACATACGGAGACAAGAGATCAATGCACCCAGGGAAACTTTGATTCTCTGAGCATGATTATAGATGTAACTACAAAAGACCTAAAGGGCAACCCTCCCTGCAAAAGCTTAATGAGGTCACTATGGAAAGTGGTGTATCAACTGGAAAAGAAAATGGACTAAAGAAATAGAGTCAGAGATGCAGCAGAATGCTATGGAAGGTTGATACGATTCATTGATCTTTAGTTGCAAATCCTACTTGTTTGGTTAACAGTATAGGTTCATAGATGCTAAATGAATAGATATCTCTTTGCAACAGAGAGATAGGACCTGCTTGGAAGCACTGCAAGAGTTTGGTGGGAGAAATTTGGGATCATTAGAAGCTGAAAAGGAGGTGTAAATGAATATATGATTCTAGTTTTGCAACTGATTTGCCTAACACTAACTGCTTTGACTCCAGTCTCCCTTTGGACTAGAATATATATTTTTTCATCCTAGCGTTTTTCCTGCATGTGCAGTGTCTGCTTTTTTTTTTTTCTGGATCAACCAAATGTCGTGACAGGAATTGACCGACCAGCTTGTTGCCTGGGCCTGATGTCAGGGACCGAGACAGAGCGACTGGCCCAGTCACCCAGCCGGCTAATATGGCATGGCATTTCATTGGTGTCTGTTTCTCTTACCCAGCAAGATTGTATTACTCTCTCTCTGCAGTTCTTCAGTAGGGCAGAGTGAACACACAAGGTGATTCAGCCAAGCCAGTGATATGCTTTCAGTGCTTTTGAAGGTAGAAAAAAAATCTTTTTGTATTGTAGAAAATAAAGAGGGAAAAACTGAGCTCTCAGTGCTAAACCCCTTAAACAAGTCTTTGCTTTTTAAAGAACAATATGAAAGGGAAAAACTACTGCAGGACTTAGGCTCAGATAAAATGGATGTGTAAAATGAATACTATACTGTATTCACTGATGTGATCTTGCCAGCTGTATTTGTAGCATATGATAAATTCAGCTGAAAAGGATTCTGGGCATTTCTCTTGGTATGAACTGCAGAGAAGGAACCCCCTATGGTCCAAGATGAAGAAGTCTTTATCCCAGCATTTTACTAATTGCAAGTAAGCTTGCAGCATGCTTCAATATGTTATTTTCTTCTCAAGATATATTATAAAGATGGGAAGTGCAACAAAGAGATGCAACTAGAATGCCAACAGGCACCTTTGACTTAGTTCACACAACCTGTGCTTAACTGTAATTTGCTGAATAAACCATAACTGGGTGGGTTCACATTTCATGCAAATGTATAATTTATGGTTTACAAACGAGAATGGCCAAGTTCTCATAGTATGCTAAGGCACAACCATATAGAACATTAAGGCTTAGCATAAAGTGCTAATGTAGTTTCTGCATCCCAAATCCTCAGCATCTCCTTTTTCTTCCACTCTATTTTATAGTATTCATTCATTCATTTGTTCATTCATTCAATTTAAAGGCCACCCAACTGCACAAGACTGTGCAGCATTAAAAGCAAGGAAAAGAATAAAACAATGAGAACAAAAATTGTGTGTCTGGAAAAAGAGGAATACTTAATTGGATAAAGTTCCAGAGGAGCTTGATACCATGCTATTCCCAACCCTGGGGAACAACCAAGTTTTTTCGGTGACTTTTTGAACATAAGGGTGAGAGAGGGCATGAATTAAATTTACTATCCCACCTTGAAGCAATTGCTTCCCATTTTTTTCCTAAAATTTTCCATTTTT